ATCATTTATATATGAGTAATGAACAATTTTAAAAGATGGAAACTCTGATTTAAGAATAGTTTTAACTTATGTTCTTTCTGTTACACAATGATGCAAAAACATACGCATTCAGTAGTAACCATAATTCAAATTTTGCCTTTGTTCAGCTAACAATACAGAATGCAATGAATAAGTTATGCACATATAAGCAGATGTGTTGATAATGTTATAAATGATGTTCCTACTTGCTACACACATATATATCATTAAAAGAAGAAACAAACTGCACAGTTAAAAATCCCATATCTTCCAGGGAAAAAGTATTCTGCTTTATATTCAATAAAAATAAATGTTTCAACGCTATTTACAACGCCATTCAGTGCTATCAGAGCCAGTGTAATAATCTTGTTATAACCTTCTAACAATTAATTTAAATTCAATGATTTTTGTCAAATATGCATGAAAGTCTTTAGATGGTATTCAGTAGTAGTATTTTGAATTCAAAGTTGCAATAAAAGAAAATACAGTTATTTCAAATAGCACTTGAAAAAAAATTAAGAGCCGAACTTTAAAACAACAAAACACAAATCTGTAGGTTGGGGCAAAAGTCATGGCAACTATTTTTTTTCTTGAACATACCAGTCCAGTTGGAAAATGTTACATATACAGATGAAACAACAAGGTCTTAACTACATGTGTGGACAATGAATAGCACTGAAATATCATAACACATGAATTTATTACGGTAGTATACAGGGCAATATAGCCTTCACCATGCAAAAGAATGATAACACAATACACATAAATTTGACATTACAAAGCTGGGCCTAAAGACCTTCAATATAGTCCCCTGCTACTGTCACCACATGCTGCCAATGATGTAGGAGACGCTGCATACCATCAGCCTCAGCATTTGCTGCACCATGTGTGTATCAAGCCATCTGTTGACGCACAGCATTAGCAATGTCCTCTCGTGTTGCAAACCGCCTACCACGTACTGGATCCTTAATCTTGGGAATAAGATCAAAGCCACAGCGCGAAAGGTCAGGAGAGTACAGAGGGTGCTCCAATTCTTCCCATTCCCAACGTTGGAGTAGCCGTCGTACACACTCTGCTTTATGTGGTCTTGCATTGTTGTGCAGAATTATTGCACTGTCCACAAGATCCAGACTTTATCCCAAACACCACGTCGTATCTGTCGCACCAGGAAGTCCCTGTAGTATTGTGCGGTCACTGTTCTGCCATGAAGAACAAAGTGGCAAACAATGACACCCCTGATGTATTACGCGACGATCACCATCAATTTGACTTATTACGCAATATCCTGTGGACAGTGCGTTTCTCAATTCCACTTGCCCTCTCTAACTCCAGAGATGTCCATCGTCTGTCTTCATCCATGAGGTGCTCGATGACGGCACGTGCCAAGTCGGTCCGCACACTCACCGGTTGCCCCAAACGTTGCTCTTCACTGGTTGACACGTCCTTGCTGAAACTTTCCTACCCACCGTGCTACTGTACAATATGGTAAGGCATTATTCCCAAGGGCTTCTAGTAATTCACTGTGACATTCCATTGCATTTCTCCTTCGGAGAACAGCTATTTTGATGTAAGCACGCTGCTGAACACGGGTTACTTCCATCTCACATGGCACTCACCAACTGACTGCCATAGAGCCAGCTATCACAGAGCCATCTGTTGTTCTGCATACACACTATGCCTGCAGAACTTCCACATGAAACATATACATTTTGTGATCCATTCACATATCTACCAAAAAAAAAAAAAAAAAAAAAGTTGTTGCATGACTTTTACCCCAACCCTTATAATATAGCTGTCATTTGAAATTTACTGAAAATGTAAGACAGATTATTGCTTTAATTTAAAAAAAATTGTTATAATAATTAATAAATTAACACGGTGTCACCCAAAAGCCACCTCTATGCATTTTGCCACCAGTGCACTCTCTGAGAGTTTTAAACTCTGCTGCCCAGTACCTCCCCCTAAAACTAAAAATTCTGGTATCCTTAAATTTTGTTGTTAAATTCCTCTCTAAATAATAAAAATTCTGCGGCACCTAAATTCTGCCACTCAGTGCAAACACATCAGTTGCACTAACTCCGCCATCGGCCCTGCCGTCACCTGAAATACACTCTTTTGCAAAAAAAAATCGAAGCACCAAGAAGGACTTTTGCAATTGTGACAAAATTTGGTATGCAAAAACAGCTTGATCGAACATGCAAATGATCAAAGTTTCAAGGCAAATGAACATGAATGGCACTCATAGCGCGCATTTCGCAAAGTATAAAACCAGTAACAGAGGCGGAAAATTGATTTTTTTTTGTTGCTGCCATTGTAATCCCGTAAAGAAGCAACTAAAAATCCCATTACGACGATATCGAAGACCTCACAGACAACTAAATGACTTCGAACGTGGTCTCATTGTAGGGTTCTGTGAAGCCGGGTGGTCATACCAAGCAATAGACTGCCACCTGCAGTGTACAGACACTGCTGTGCAAAGATGTTGGCAACAATGGTTGCTACAAGGAAATTGCCGATGAAATAAAGACACAATAACGCCAAGGAGCATAAATGCAAGGCAAGATAGGATTATTGTTCACCCCGCCTGAACTGCCCCAACAGTATCATTGCAGACTATTCAACTCACTACAGCCACATCTATACCTCCCATGGTACCGTCCAACATCTGAGGGCACTTGTTTGAGGCAGGATTATGATCACAGAGGCCTTTAAGACGTTTGCCTTTGACTCCACAATATCGTTGGAGTCATCTGGAGTGGTGTCGCAGCGGATCATCATGGCTGCCATCCGACTGGCATCGTATAGTGTTCAACGATGAATCCCGCTTCACTCTTGAAGCAGATGACCACCGTGTTCATGTCTGGAGAGAACGAGGCCAGAGGTTCCAATCAGCTTTTATTTTACAAAGGCATACAGCTACAACCCCTGGTGTGGGGCTCTATTTCTTATGACAGCAGGTCATCTTTAGTCCTCCTCTGTACATCTTTAACAGCTCAATGATATCTTGACACCATCCTGCGGTCAGTTGCATTATCCTTCGTGGCACATCATTCTGGGGCCATTTTCCAACAAGATAATGCCAGGCCACATACTGCTCGCATATCTCTGGACTGTTTCTGTGCGGTTGATACTCTTCCTTGGCCAGCAAGGTCACCAGACCTTTCTCCAATCGAGCATGTCTGGGGCATGGTAGGCCGCCAGATTCGGGCACCACAATATCGCAGATCTGGAGCAACAACTATTGAATGCCTGGCAGAATGTGTCACAGGATGACATTAGGAACCTCTACCACTCCTTGCCTTGACGAATTCAAGCATTGCCGTCAGTGGTGGTTTGACCAACTACACTCAATGGGTAACCAATTTGAACACTCAATGGGTGATTGTGAGCCGTGAACAGGTACTATGGCCTTGATTTTTAATCATTTTATTATCTGTGTATGAGTTATACACATATTCAATTTCATCAAAAACAAGCCCTTTCTTCATTGCACTTTGATTTTTTTTGCAAAAGAGTGTACATGACCATTTTGTTCAGTTAATAAGAAAATGTTATTATCTAAACAGCATGGAGCAAAGAGCAAACATTTTATTTTAAACACGAAAACATCAAACAAAGACAGATAAATAAGAAAAAATTGAGAATAATTATTTATTTTTTGGGCAGATATCCAAGTGACATTTATAATCCCAAAGAGATGCAGGAACAACTATAGACAAATTATGAAAATTTATTTGATGATTGAAAGAAAAGAAAAACTCCTTTGCCTGCTCTACATCACCCGCACAATGATTAAAAGCATGACAGTGTTCAATTTCAAACTTGTCAAAGAAATAAAAATTTATTATTCCACAACTAAACACCACAATTGTGAGAGCAAGTTACAATCACCTTCAAAAGGGAGGAATATGTCTTCAAAAACTAATTTGCTTCTATGACAAAAACCTTTTGTTTTAGAAACATACCAATAGTGAAGACACTATTGGTATGTTTCTATGACAGCAATGGAATCACAAATTTTTTTCCAAAGGACAAAATGTCAATGTAACTTTTACTTAAATATTTTGAAGAATTTACGAGAAAAAATATTTTGAAACCAACATAAATACTTTTAATTATAACACTCTGCTACTTTAATTGCAGAATTTTAAAATTAAGAATGTTAATTGTGGTTCTGACCATAGTTTGACCAATAAATTATCTTTATTATACTACTCTTTTTTCTTCTACTTTTCTTTCAAAAAAAAAAAAAAAAAAAAAAAAAAAAAAAAAGATTTCCTGTCTACACTAACATTTCATCTAGCATAAAATAAGCTAGCTTAAAATCACATAAAAAAATTCTCCAAATTTACAAAATCTTTTTTTAAGGTGTGGGGAGGGGAGAGATAACTATACATGATATTTAGCAGTAACTTGCACAATTCTCGAAAAGTTTAAAAATGAATTTTTTTAATTTAATTTTTCTATTTTTAGGCAGTTCTTTTGTCACAGAAAACATTCTGAAAATTTTCATTTTTAAACCATACAATTAACATTTGGCTAGTGATTGCAATCTGTAGCTGTACCTTCAATTTATATTTTGTCTGCTTTGTTAAAATATTTCATATGAAAAAGCATATCTTCCGAATGTCCAATCTATCAATCACATCTTTTTCTACCCATTTCTAATGTTTAAGATAACATTACTGTTTGATGGTTGCAGAATTCAAAATAAAACTATGACAAATGCATTTACATACACAATATTTTCCATAATATATAAGCTTTCTCATACAGTACGCAGCACTTCACCTGAAGAAGTGACAGTGGAGATTTAAAGAGCTTTTCAGCTCCATCAGCATGCAATCAAAATAATATTTTTACACAAACTGCAATATCCTACAAAATATACTCTATATTTCACTCCAGAGAAGGACAAGAAATACAAACAAAAACTAGTACATTTAATAAGGAAAATTCAATCTTAAATAAAGAAAACCAACCATCATATTCCGGAAAATAGTCAACTAAATGGGAGTACATAATCTTTTCTTCCAATAAATCTTTTTTATTCAGAAACAATATTACTGAAGAATTCTGGAACCAGGGATATGTGATAATTGTTTTAAATAGTGCTTTACTCTCTTCCATTCGATTCTAAAGAAAGAAAAACAAACAACATGAAAAAATATGCTGAATATAGTACCACTATAGTATACAAGCTATATTAATTTTAAAAGGTAATGGATAAGTTGGCAATATTCACCAACAATGAATAAATCCATCAAAACTATAATTATTTGGATTACAGATGTTTGGAACTCTACACATCCAGATAACTTTTTTTAATTTAGCATAGCAAAAAAGCACATCTATATAAATAAACATTTAATTCCATTGTTTTACTTTAGTTGAAACAAAAATAGGTTGTGCATTCAGCAAATAAAAATTCATTTCATTGCTTAATTTTGACCCTAAAAAAAAAGTGCTAATGCTCCATTTCTTTTCATATAAAAATATTTTACTTCTTTTAATACAAGAGCTTTGTTAAAATAAGATTAAAAAAGGGGGGAACATTTTTATCTCACTTGCATTATAGTAAATAACAAATATCATATTATTAATAATAATACGTGCAAATAATTGGGATAATTTGTACAATTTATCTTGTTTCTTAGAAAAATACAGATAATTGGAAAAATATTTGAATCTTCAAAATATCTAGATGAGTTGCAATCCCATTTAATCCACATATCTGTTTTTCTACCTTAGATAAAATTCTGTAATTATATAACCAAAGGCAATGTTTTTAAATCAACATGATAGTTGTTTTCTAATAAAATATATCTTATATTTAATTCACAGCATATAAATATAAATAAGAAAGAAATTTACATATTCTGCACTTTTTAATACTTTTGCAAATAAAACACAAATAATTACCATTGATTAGAACTAATTTTATGGGTAAACAAATTACACAAAAATTTAGAAATATAATAAAGCGATTCAATTTTGCATGACTCTTTTCTATCCAATAAAATTCTTGATCATATTCCGGATATTAAGTAAATGCCTAAAAAATATGAGGTTCTAAGTTATTATGCAAATGATTTTGGTCGTAGGTTTTTCCAAAAATTTCTTTAGATAAACAGTTTTAAAAAATGGTATGTCTAAGCAGTTTGTGATATATAGTTTAGCCTAAAGAAACATTTCTTCTTTCAAGTACTTGATTAAAAAAAAGCCTATGGAATTAGTTATTTAAAATAATAAATATATAAAACATAAATCACTGAAAATTTCATTGCTAAATAAAAGATCTGCATATAAACAGAGAATCAACACCATCATTTACTCAAAAAAGATGCATATAACTCTGAATTTGATAATTTTATTTAAACTTTGCATAATTAAAATTAACATTTAGAGTAAACACACAGTCAATTTTCTCATGATGGCCACTTCTGAATGTGATCAGTACTTCTGGGAACAAAAAATGAAAACTATTATTGATAATTAGAATTATAATCTCTAAGATGACTACTCCCTAACCTGATTGTGATCATCATAAACTATAAAATATACAGTTTTGCTACAAAAAATAAATTATTTTATGTTCTTTAAAGCATTTTGATTGCGTCGTAAGCTAATAAGTTGACTCTGTAATATCTAAAAAACTTGGCAGTCGAGGCAGTTTTAATTCCATTTTTATTTTCCAGTTGAAGTTTGTGACCACAGCTCACCTGGCACTCTATTCATGCTTATTCACAGAACATGTAAATTTTTTAATATTATTGCAATAACAAGCAAGACTGCGGAATTACATTCAATCAGGATAGCAAGCTAAGCTAAAGTGTGTAGATGGAAGCATACGAAGAGAAAGGTTTTGGTTTAAGGTTACAGTTCCCAATTATTTCGTCATCAGCCTGCGTTGCGCAGGCCATGCAAAATAGAATGATCTAGAAATGATGCAACTGAGAAGTTATTACGATTTTTAGAATGGAGAGGGAGAATTAAAGTTTTACCATTAGTTTAACCCTATGACGCGAGCGATATTATTTTTATAATTTTTTTAAACTAAAAAACTCTAGAAATTGAATATTATGATCCTAGAGACAAATAATATATGAATTAAAAAAAACCTCTTCTTGCCCATTGTTCTGTGGGTAGTGGTCGCACTGTGAAACCATCGCGCGTCTAGGACTTTGAAATTTACTGAGGTAGTAGGGGGAAAAAATTTACCTTTCTACATGCACGTTTCCAATAAATGACGAAATTTATGAATTTTTAAAAAATGTATGTAAGAATTGCATTATATATAATTTTTTTTACATTATTTTACAAAGTAAATCGTCAGGAAAAATTAAAAAATAAACATTTATGTAATTTTTCTATAGCAGTGAAAATATAAGTATCTACATAATAAGGACGTTTGGCTAAATGAATAAAAAATTCAGTAAAATAAGGATAAAAAAAAGACTCAGTTTTTTTTTTTAAATATCAAAGAATAAATTTTTTGTGACACTGTTCAAAGCATGTTCTGTCATTTTGGTACATGCATAGACCCACATTGCACGTTTTTCGCACATGTATCTTCTATGAATGTTTCTTCTTTGTGCTACAAAATGTACACTGCTTGGATCTAAATTTCACTGTTATATGTTCAGTGTTACTTAGTTTCTTTTCAGCTGGCATATCAAGTTTGTGGTTTTCTATGTGAATGGGGGGGGGCTTGGTCTTTTTGGATTTTGGTATGGATCATTCATTTCCCATTCATATCTATTTTATTCGTATTTCGTCACAAAATATTCAGAAAATATTTTAATTTAAATAAAACTTTACGCGATTTCTATTTTTAATTATAGCAAAGTATATTTACATTAAAATTTAAACCGCAGGAAATAATTTATAAAATCTCAATACTAGCTTGGAGAGCAAGTGGGCTGAGGTCAGAGAAAAATCTCTGGAAAAGAAAGAACTTTTTACTGGGCAGGAGCATGTATTGTTTAGTAATAAAATAACTCTTTGGTTTTAAAACCCTTATGTATATCTGGGCAAAAATAAACATTCCTATCTGAGAAGCAAGCAAACGCCATTGTAAACAGCAGTGGTTTCAAGGCGCGACCACCGAGCCTCAAGAGCATTGTGAGCATTGTGACACAATGCTCTTGAGGCTCGGTGGTCGCATTGTGACACAATGCTCTACTGGTGCAGTGGGCACACCCTGAAACCACAAAGCAAATGCCATACATATAGAGGGTTTTCTTTATGTATGCCTCAAGAGCATTGTGAGCATTGTGACACAATGCTCTTGAGGCTCGGTGGTCGCATTGTGACACAATGCTCTACTGGTGCAGTGGGCACACCCTGAAACCACAAAGCAAATGCCATACATATAGAGGGTTTTCTTTATGTATGCAGCTTAATTATTGCTATTTTTTATTGTTTATGACAGAAATCATGATGTGCGATGAATAACTTTTTAAATTTAAAGTTGTTTATATTAATAAAACACAGTTTTGTTTCAATGAAAACGAATTTTAAAAGGCATCCGATTTGAAGTACTTAGTCCTAAAACATGTATGATTCTGCAGTCATTTTGTGTTATGTAGAGGTAAAAGATCAGTAATCAATTGATTTTCACTCAAAAATTTCGGAAAGAAGAGGAGGAAAAAAAAAATCGAAAATTGGTGGTTTCAAGGCGTGACCACCGCGTGCCAAAAGGTTAAATTATAATTTTGACTCACATATTTTTTTATCTTACACACACACACACATATATATACTATACGCTTTTTAGTTTACTTTTATTTTGAATATATATACATAAATATTCAAAATAAAAGTAAACTAAAAAGCCTATGACTTGTGCTAAAGGTGCAAAGTAATTACTGGTTTATTACTTTGACGCTTTAGTGCAAGTCATGGGCCTTTTAATTACTTTTGAATTTATACTCTAACTAATAGCAGCTTTTAGTGCTATTTTAGTAACAGCCTACTCTCTATGTACTATCTCCAAGAATAATTCCTGTTTTCTAGCCAATTTAGGCAATGCTTTCTTAAACAGAAAACTTCACTTTACGATAACCCTTTTTACTTCCATCACTTAATACAGTCAAAAGTCGTTAATTCGGACACCCATAATCCGGAATGATCTATAATCCAGACCTCAAAGCTAAAAACTTTCTGCGCATGCACCGTGTTGACACGTGTGCGTAAGACCTTTTACCACTGCGCATATGCGTGTGTGCAAGCGCAGAATACGTTTTCGCGTGCACGTTTTATGTATAACGGATGGTATAATCTAAAATTATCTAATTATCTAGTTCAGTTAATGTTGATGATTGCGTTGTTCCTTAATTTTTCGAATTGGATCCGGCTTATTATTTTTTGCAGACTGTAAGAGCAATACTATAAAAGTAAACTTGAACTTTCGATTATGTCAAATAGAATTTCCGATTCTGGAGCTCCCAAAGGATAGTACAAAACGAAAGTATGTTTCGATGTCCATCACACATAAAGTGGAATTGCTGCAAAAAATGGATAAAGACATGAAGAACGTGACAGAGAGGTTAGTGAAAACGAAGAATTTCGATTGACAAGTTAGTCAGTATTCTCGGCACAGCAATTAACGGGACTTGAACAACGAACTTTGTGTAACTGAACAAGAAATTATGTCTGTTTATAGAATTAAAGGGAAAGTATTATCACAAAACGAAGCAACTTAAACAACTTACATTGGAAGAAATGTTTAATAAAGTAAATAAATAGATATTAAGCTTTTTTTTTTTTTTTTGTAAATTTTGATACCTTTAGATCATAATTGCTTTATTTCATAAAAACGGTTTCATATTTTTAATTTTAGAATTTCTACATGCCATCTTACGAGATTTAAACTGATGATCTATAATCCGGAATCGCCGAAGTCCCGACGAGTCCGGATTAACGACTTTTGACTGTACTTGCATTTCCATCCATTTAATTTTAAAATTTTGAAGGCAAGTTAGTTAATTTTAACTTATTAGTTTGATCTTTAAATTTTTAATTAACTATTTACTTTAAACTTTAAGGATTGTATGTTTTATCTTCTTATGATTTTGAATTACCTTTAGTGTTCTAAATGCATACTTTTGTTTTTGAGTTTGAAGATGAGAGTG